AAACAATTGAGGGTAGATAATTAAAACATGACTTTCATGACTTATTTGCTTTCAATCTCAACAGCTCAACGTATGTATCGAATTTTTAGGCGATGTGTGCACGGACCGACAGTTCTAAACGCTATTTGCCGATTAAAATTATAACAAATTGGAATATAATAAATAAGAAAAGATATTTTAGCACAAACGGCATAGATCAATAATTCCTTTATCCAATGTTTTATCTTTATATATACGATTCGAATACAAATTACAATCTACATCATGTTCATGTAAAGTTCTGAAGTTTCGAGATTGTAACTTGGTTCGAATTTCCTAACGTCTGCCAATACCCAGTATTCGAAATAAAAAAGTGAATATAAAGACGAAGATCAATTCTCAAAAGTATAGAAATAAACCTTGGAAACAATGAAAAAATTTAAACACGAACACCCGGAAATGGTGAATATTTTCGACACTATTGTTGCTCCGAACGTAAGCAATATTCCTATCGCGGTACATTGTATAAAAGTTCACACGACGGATAGGCCTATGAGGCTATGAATGGAATATTTTATTATATTTTTTAATTTAAATATTCATACTTAATCTTAAAAAAAGATATGCTTACTTTGTAGTTTTATACTCTGTGTTCTTTTCTTCAATTTTACATTTTTTTTAAAATTTAAAACGATATTTCTAAGTTTATGATTTTTTCTTCCATAGATACAGTGTATCGCTGAAAGTATTTATAAATAATTATAAGTTTTATATTGAAATATTTTTATCAATTCAAGTAGTTTCACTCAAATTTAGACACGAAACACAGAATGTTGACCCTGATACCAAACACAGACTTCCTGTGTACTGCTACGTGTATATAAATTTTTGACGTCTTGAGTATTGGGGGTCTCCAGGTAAATAACACCACTGTTTCTTGGACCACTCCCTCTCCTCAGGTAACCGTACGGTAAAAAAAATTGGGTCTTTAAATGCTATAGGAACTCACCAGCGCCGTGAAGTTTTGAAACTTTGTTAATTATTAAAACAATACTCATAGTGAGGACATTTTGATAGCCGGGTTAATCTATAATTGAACAAGCAGTATTTTACAATATCCCCTGAGGTGTGAATAGTGTGTGTTTACCCCTTCCCTTTTCCATTTTATTTTAATGAGCTTGAAAAACACCGTGCTGACAATATTATTCTCTAAGCGAGAATGTACAGGCCAATTTATGAATGTGATTTACGACAATTTATACATTTTGGAAAATTAATTGCTGGCGTAATCTATAATTTCATTTCAACATCTTATTCCACTTTAGATTCCTCTGAATTTTCAGTGGTGTGTAAAACGCGTTGTAGGGCATTTGATGTTACGTTTTACATAAATTTACGAAAATGGTTTTTGATTTATAAATGCGAGTACTATATCGGTGAATTTTTTTTTCTTCAAAATTCCGAATATTCGACTGTCGTTCGAATAATGCAATTGAATGTTCGACTAAGGAAAATAAATATTTTGACATCCCTAGTAGAAACCTATTTTGTATTTCAAAAATTATCCATTTAAAAAAAGTAATACATAATTTCATAATCTAATGACCTGTGTTTGAAATGGTAGTAACTGGAGTAAATCTAAGTAAAATAGCGTTTTTAATAATGTGTTTAGTGCGTGTGTATGTAAATTATACAAAGAGATATGTTACAATAAGAAGCATTGGCAATTCTTATTTCTTTTTTATATATATATATATAAATTATAAAACTAACAAAATCCCACGCTAGATCCACACGTCTTAATTAATTCAGTGTACTTAAATGCATGGCCGTAGGAACCGGGAAGGGGAGCCCCCCCAATAATTTTGCCTATGTACAGCTGTATATAGCAGTATACTGTAGAAAACATAGCTACTGTACTAAATGATCACGCCCCCTCAATAAAAACGTAAGATAACTTTTTTGGGGGGGGGGGGTTGTCTATCCGAATTTTTTTCAACCCGAGAGCTACAGATCTGCAGCTGGGGGCGGGGGGGGGGGGGGTAGCTGCAGATATGTAGCTCTCTGGTTGAAAAAAATATCCGAATTTTTTTTAAACCAGAGAGCTACAGATCTACAGCTGGGGGGGGGGGGGGGGGGGGGGGGGGGGGGGGGGTCAAGAAATTTTTGGTAGTTGAGAGTGCCCCCAAATGAAAATAAACGGCTGGCCCCCACCCCTGAAATTTCTTCCTACGGGCCTGAAAATGCGTGTGAATGCATCGAAGTGCATATGTACAACTGAGCCACTGCTAACATGATAAGATAGTAGCTTTTCGTACTGGTAGATGCTTCGAGATGTTCATCAGGCACAAAAATTTGTTGTCACAGTGACTATCATTCTCCCTCCTGAGTGGATATACGATGAAAGACCATCCCGACACAGGATAATACTGAGGGGCGGGAGAACATTTTTTTTAAATTCTTAAACATGAAGTTAAAATAGTTTTTAATTTGACAAGACTTTGGAATGAATTTTTAAAAAATACAAGTATTATTTATCCATGTCATTTTTTTGCATTGAACACGGACCATAATAAAGAGACAATCAATTTTTTTTTTAATTTACAGATGGCCTAGTCAACAATTCTTCCTAGTAAGTACATATTATAAATCCACCTAAGCCCTTTCTTTGGGTATTCTGATTTATCAAACCTTTAAAATCAATAAAAAACATTTTGCACCAGTGCATTCTATTTTCATTAGATACAAAACTAATACATTATACAGTATACTGTTCCATTCAGTTATACATAACAATGTACAAACAAAAAGGCAGAAAACAAGAGGCCCATGGGCCACATCGCTCACCTGAATAACTTGGGTGATGCAGATCTTTACCAGATTCCCCCTCTTGCTATAGTCCTATCTTGCCCCACTACCCCCTTCCCTTTTATGATTTTAAAACTTTAGAATCTACACTACCCCAGGATGCTTCCACATAAGTTTCAGCTTTCCTGACCCAGTGGTTCTTGAGAAGATTTTTAAAGATTTGTTCTATATATTTCTATGTTAAACTTGGATTCCCTATTGTGGCTCCGCCCTACCCCCGGGGGGTCATGATTGTAACAATTTAATATTTACACTACCCAAGGATGCTTCCACATAAGTTTCAGCTTTCCTGGCCCAGTGGTTCTTGAGAAGAAGATTTTTAAAGATTTGTTCTATATATTTCTATGTAAAACTTGGATTCTCGATTGTGGCCCCGCCCTACCCCCGGGGGTCATGATTTTAAGAATTTAATATCTACACTACTAAGGGTGAAACGTTTACTGAATTTTGTAAACGTTTAAACGGATAGCAGTAAACGAAACGGTACCGTTTAAACGGGAAATATTCTATGTTGGATTTTTATGGCTACTCATTCATGAAACTCGAATTTAATAATCAATTCTTTCACTTTAATATAAGTATGAGCTGTTATTACAAATTTATTGTTGGTCATTGTGATTTAACCGTAAGAATTTGAGGGGCATTAAATTCATTCACTTACGACCTCGTCACCCAACTGCTTGGTTTATTTGGTTACCGGACGTAGAAAAAATAATTGTAAAGATGGATCTTTTAATCTCGAAAAAAGTAAATCAGGACCTGCTGAATGTATTGAAACTTTTCAAAGACTTGTGAAAAATGTATTATATTTATTTAATCAAAATATATCAAGTTTTATATTTCAAGTGTCGTAAAACATCGCTAGTATTAGCAACTCGGAAATCGGAATTAATTATGTTAGCCCGTATCGGGTTTTAGATATTTTCATTCAATATGTTTCCGGTTTAGATTGTTGCTTATCAAATGGCCAAAGACGGTGTTTCTTTTGTAAATTATGAAATAAAACAATTTTTTTTGTGTTAAACTTTATTTCTGATAGACATTGATAATGACCTTCGTGTAAACGTTTACTCAAACTGTAAACGTTTAGAGCATATAATCGAAACGTCGCCGTTTACACGTGTAATCGTTTCGCCCTTATACACTACCCAAAGATGCTTCCACATAAGTTTCAGCTTTCCTGGCCCAGTGGTTCTTGAGAAGAAGATTTTTAAAGATTTGTTCTATATATTTCTATGTAAAACTTGGATTCCCTATTGTGACCCCGCCCTACCCCCGGGGGTCATGATTTTACCAATTTAATATCTACACTACCCAAAGATGCTTCTACATAAGTTTCAGCTTACCTGGCCCAGTGGTTCTTGAGAAGAAGATTTTTAAAGATTTGTTCTATATATTTCTATGTAAAACTTGGATTCCCTATTGTGACCTCGCCCTACCCCCGGGGGTCATGATTTTAAGAATTTAATATCTACACTTCCCAAGGATGCTTCCACATAAGTTTCAGCTTTCTTGGCCCTGTGGTTCTTGAGAAGAAGATTTTTAAAGATTTGTTCTACATATTTCTATGTAAAACTTGGATTCCCTATTGTGTCCCCGCCCTACCCCCGGGGGTCATGATTTTAAGAATTTAATATCTACACTTCCCAAGGATGCTTCCACATAAGTTTCAGCTTTCTTGGCCCAGTGGTTCTTGAGAAGAAGATTTTTTAGTGACCCCACCCTATTTTTGTCTTTTCTTGATTATCTCCCCTTGTGAGGGAACTTGGCCCTTCATTTTAACAATTTAAACTCCCCTTTACCCAAGGATGCTTTGTACCAAGTTTGGTTAAAATTGGTCCATTGGTTCTTGAGAAGAAGTCGAAAATGTGAAAAGTTTACAGACGGACAGACAGACAGACAGACGGACGGACAGACAGACAGACGGACAGCGGACAAAATGTGATCAGAAAAGCTCACTTGAGCCTTCGGCTCAGGTGAGCTAAAAATGGTTGTCCCGGACCTGTCGTCTGGCAATGCTATTTGTCTAGCCCTGAACCCTTGATCCCCCTTTACTTTTTTGATGTCCCCTTCTATTTCGATTCTTCAGGACAACCCAGTATATTGCAAGGATGTACCTGTTCATGTTCCTGTGACCAAAGACAAGAAAAAACTTAACACTTCAGCAATTTATTTTCATTATATTTTTAAATTGTTATATGAAAAATAAGTAATATTATAATAAACCAATTCAACAGATAAATATTATAAGTTATTAAATATTAAATGTCAAACAGTGTATTACCTATAAATTTATAGAGAGTCTAAACAAAAATAAACTTGTTATCAATAAAAACATCTACATGTATGAGGTAACCGTTCCTGAATTCATCCTAAATTTACTTGATGTCACACAGAGCAGCTACACCCCTTAGAATCCAGTGATCGGGACTTTGATTTGTCTTTAATACAATGAAAGTAATGTAGGTGAGATCTGTGCGGTTTGGCTTTTTGTAGACAGGACACTGGTATAACCTAGGGTCTTTGGGGGCTGTGGAATTGATAGCATACATGTGAACTACAGGCATTGGTGTAAAGAGAACTTTGGGTGGGGGCTCACAGAGGCGACAGTTTCTCTTGTCCCAACCAGCACCATCTAGGTAAAGTCCATACACATACACACCCTCCTACAACAAACATTCAAGTTTTCTGTTGAACTCAAACATCAAGAAATCTTGAAAATAGCATATGCACTTCCTTGGACATTTTAAGTAATTAAGAACAGTTGACTCACCACAGGTGGAGCAGTTATGTCTTCCTTCACTGCCTTGATAACCTCATTGTGTAAAGTCACAGAATCAAGAGCCCAACCTTTGTGTGCTCTTGTAACCTCTTGTCTCATTGCAGTCAAAAATCCTAAAATTAACATCCAAAAACTAAATTTAACATACCGGTATAGCCAATAGAATCATGGCATGGACTACTGACAACTCAGGATGAAAACAGATCATAACAAAACAGATCACCTGAGTTATTTGGATGACATAAAATGATCATTACTGAATCATAACACTGGATAAGTATCTATTAGTAAATATCTTTTGCAACCTTTGAAGAACTCTTGATAGGAGTGGATAATAAATGAATTGTTTGCCATCATTCAAACCTTGTGGGTTGAAAAATCCTGTCATCCAGAAAGAATCTGGTCTTCCAACAAAAACCCAAGTAGAAAACTGGTCATTTCTTTCCAAAAGTTCTGTGAACCAAAATCCTAATGTTGATGACTGCCAAGATATTTTTCTCCATAAACTGGGGACTTTTGCATCAAACATGTTGTCAAGGGCATCTCGAAGATTCTAAAAGATAGAAATCACGACACTATAAACCTCAATGCTTATAGTAATAATATATTTTGTACCAATAAATCAGCATCATTCCAAAACTCTTATTGTGGCAATAAAGCAAGTACCTGTACTAATTAAGATTCAATATATATAATATACTGACCCCCACTATATCTTGACAAAACTTGTGTTCTTGAAAACGATAACTTTTATGTTCCCTACTAACATTATAATGTAGAGAATCCTACCTCAGACATAATGATTGTACCATCAATGGCTAATTTTAAATCTGTTAGGGTGACACGGACTGTGGAAATCACACGTTGCATCCTATCTATTTCTTGCTTTAAGAATATATTAAGAGGATGCAGGTTTCCATACTTTTTCAGTCTATCTTTAACCTGAAAAAAGACATATTATTAGCATTAATTCTCGACAAAAAATTAAATCAAGTTGGTTCCATAAGTTTGAAAATTGAAATTTAAGACAACAGTACTTTTGAAAAACAAACGGATCAGGTCAAAGAGCCTTGAGAGTCAACTGAAAACAACCTAGCACTCTCTGGGGCACAATGATTTAAATGTTGTTGAATCACCAGAGGACAAAACAAGTTCTTGAGAAGATTTTTAAATACCCTAACCAAAGAACAAGGTTCACTTTTGCCTTATTTGGCCCTGTGAATTTCTGAAAAACTGAAACTGCATAGTTTTACTTAACAGTGCATTAAATATCACTTACATCTTTGGTGACTGCGTATCTATAAAAAATGACGTCATTTTCTGGCTAGTCAATGCATTATGACATCACGAAATGCGTCAATTTCCTCATATTCTGAAAAAGTCTACTAAAACGGCCAATTTTTAAAGCTATTTTTTGATATTTAATGTAGAGCGCAACATCTGATCTAATATATGCAACCAGTAAATGATAGAACTGTTTCTGAGGATTAATGGACATGTTTTATTTTTTAGATCAGAGAGTGCGCTCATATAATTTTTCTTCACTAAAAGTACTCAATTATACCTGTTTATCTAAAAATTCAAGAACATTGCAATTTCATAAAGCCAGTTCTCCAAGACCTAGACTTTTAGGATAATTTTTTTAATAGGATATGAACGCATCAAGTCTCTATTTTATTTTAATGTTTCAAATAGAAAATCAAGTGTTGATCAATTAATCGGTATATCTACAGGGCCATTTTATACATAAAGTGAACCAACTTCTTTTCACTTTGATCTCCCCTTGGAAATGGGTATTTCCCTTCATTTGAAAAAACTTGAATCCCCTTTATCCAAGGATACTCTGTAACAAGTTTTGTTGAAGTTGTTCCAGTAGTTCTGGCCAAGAAGATGAAAATGTGAAAGTTTAGGACAATGATGACATGCAGTGCCGATGACAGACAACAGACAAATTTTTATGAGAAAATCTTACTTGAGCCTTCCACTCAGGTGAGCTAAAAATTAAAAATTATATTTCTGCTCCAAAATATCTAATGACAAAAATATTTCAGTTTTTAGTATATTTCTCAAAGTCGTCCTCTTCAGAACAGTACCTCGTGAGGCAGGTAATCCACAGGAAGTTTGGACAACATGTCGGTAGAGAGTTTATAGACAACACTCTCTCTGGTCTCCCCTCCTCCCCCTCCACTGTCTTTAGGCTGAATGCTCATGATTGTATCCAGAACATCTTTGGACAAGTTTGTTTGATATCTGAAAGAAGTGTTATCACAAATTAAAAGCCACATTGAATACTAGGGGTATATTAGCATGGAAATGAAGACTACTCACTTGAAGGCAATTCTTATTAGGTTTGTCATAATTTTATCATATAAAAGACAGATAATAAAGAATTATAAATCTCATTATTCCATTAAAGAAAACAAATCAAGAACAGGGCAAACATAAGAACCCCCTGGAAACACCAGAGGTGGAATCAACTGCATTGGAGGTTTGCATGAAAAATAATCTGAATTTTCTGAAAAGTTGACACAGTCTATAAGAGCTTCAAAATATGTTTTTCTTATGACCTTAGCCCAGATGACTTTTGAATCTTTAGGTGTCGTGTCTCTATTAAGTGTATTGTGAATCAGTCTGGGTTGACATATACTCAATTTTTCCAGACAAACTTTGTAATTTCATTAGCCTAAATGTATTGCCACTTGGACCAAAAGGAAATCAGATCATTACTACCTGAAATATCTAAGTAATGGGTTGCCACGTGTTTGTAAACCCACCTCCCAAAATTAAATGGTAAAATCAAACTCACGTGATATCAGCATTTGGATGCAACCCAAAAGCCTCTGGAGAATCCACTAGTGGCAAATTTGCTATGAAGTTCATGATATCACTAAGAAGTTTCATGTTTGGTATTTTGTATCCAGTATAAAATTGGAAGTTTGGCTGGAACATGAAATCTCCAAACCATACCTGAAAGAAAAGCAGACAACGTCAGATTCTTTTGCAAGCTTGGAATACATAGAAATTGTTTGTTAATATACTCCTTGTTTTCTAGTTTTTAATGATGATACAAAGATCATTCACAGAGAAACTCTTCGTTCAACATATTTGAGTTTTATCCTTTATTATAAAAAAAATACACTTAAAATGACACAACAATGCATTTTAATATCTAGTGTAAATACCTTTAGCATATAGAGTCAGATATAAAAGTACATGTAAACACAAACACATTCATAGTGTGTTTCATACATAATAATTATCTAGATATTACTATCTTACTCTTGCGAATGTATTAAGAAGTCTCTTGTCATAATCATCTGTAACTCTCCCTCCATACTGCACTTCACCAAGCATGTAGCGAACTGTTGTCCAAGATATTCCCTAAATTCAAAAAAAAAACAAAAACAAAAAAACAAACAAAACAAATACAAAAAAAGACAAAAACAATGTCTCCCCTTTGGAGGAAAGACATAACAAATGCTTGTAAAATTGGAACTTGGAGCAGTCAGTTCTATAATTTGCTGACACTGGATGTGAAATAGAACCTTACCCTTTTGACATCCAGATCATCCAGATGATTCTGGACAAACTGTACACTGGCTGTCCAGTCTGACGAGTTAAACTCATACGGAATATTCCAACCAAGAGGGCCAAACTTTCTTCTTTCCTAAAAAATGTCATAGTCGATACTCACCATTTTTTAAATTCAAAAATATTTACATTTCACTGAAAACAAGAGCCCCATGGGCCACATCGCTCACCTGAGCACTGTGACTAGGAAAAAATCAATTCTGATCAGTAAATGCCCAAGTGGTCCCAATCCTAAAAGGGGTGGGGGGGGTTATGATTTGAACAAACTCGTATCTGTGCAAACTTGAATCTACATTAACTAAGGATGCTTACATATTTTTTTGACTAACTGTGGCTATTTTTCCCTATAAGTTGAACTTTTATTGTGGTCCCGCCCAACCCTAGGGGTCATGATTTCACAAATCTGTATCTAAACTACCTGAAGATGCTTCAATATAAACAAGACCATTCATGACTTTGCTGTTCTTGAGATTTTTCCTATATACTCCTATGCAAAACTTTGATCGTCCATTGTGGCCCCGCCCTACACCCCGGGGGTCTTGATTTGAACAATCTTTAATCTATACTACCTGAAGATGCTTCCATATAAATATGACCAATCATGGTTTGCTGTTCTCAAAAAGAAGATTTTTAAAGATTTTTCCTATAGATTCCTATATAAAACTTTGATCCTCCATTGTGGCCCCGCACTACCCTAGGGGTCATGATTTCACAAATCTGTATCTAAACTACCTGAAGATGCTTCAATATAAACAAGACCATTCATGACTTTGCTGTTCTTGAGATTTTTCCTATATACTCCTATGCAAAACTTTGATCGTCCATTGTGGCCCCGCCCTACACCCCGGGGGTCTTGATTTGAACAATCTTTAATCTATACTACCTGAAGATGCTTCCATATAAATATGACCAATCATGGCTTTGCTGTTCTCAAAAAGAAGATTTTTAAAGATTTTTCCTATAGATTCCTATATAAAACTTTGATCCTCCATTGTGGCCCCGCACTACCCCCGGGGGTCATGATTTGAACAATCTTGAATCTACACTACCTGAAGATGCTTCCATATAAATATGACCAATCATGGCTTTCCTGTTCTCAAAAAGAAGATTTTTCCTATAGATTCCTATGTAAAACTTTGATCCTCCATTGTGGCCCTGCCCTATCCCCAAGGGTCATGATTTGAACAAATATGAATCTACACTACCTGAGGATGTTTCCACATAAGTTTCATCTTTCCTAGCCCAGTGGTTCCTGAGAAGAAGATTTTTGAAATGTGCCATTAATTTTTCATTAATTTTTAATGATCTCCCCTTGGAATGGGGTGTGGCCCTTACAAACTTGAATCCCCTTCATCCAAGGATACTTTGTGGCAAGTTTGGTTGAAATTGGTCCAGTGGTTCTTGAAAAGAAGTCAAAAATGTGAAAAGTTTACAGACGTACAAAATGTGATCAGAAAAGCTCACTTGAGCCTTCAGAACAGGTGAGCTGAAATTTTTTTTTTCTTTTCAAAACAAACCTGAACAACTGTGTGGAGAAAGGACACTGCAAAGAGCATAGGTCTCCACTGAACCATGTTGCTAACATCAAGAAAGTCTTGAGTAATTCCAGCGTAAGTTCTCTTCAATCCTGCCTTGATTCCTTGGGGTGGTTCATTTGTGAATTTAATGGATGTCTGAAGTTGACAAAAAAAAAAAAAATACAGATGTCATCAAAAATGTCATCTTCATTCATGTTTTTGTTGTTGGTTCTCAGCCAGTCAAGTACATGTACTGTACATCAACACATTTTCATGAAACCTTGTTTTTAAGAGATATTATCAAATTTAAAAGAGAGACAAAAGTTTCATTGGCTATCGATGAATAATCTTATAATAATAATCTTGTGTGATTGAAAATAGTTTTCATGATAAAAATATTTTATTGTGGTTGAGTCATGGGTGTAAACCTGTAGAAGACTGATTGGAAATCCAGCATGTTCTTCAGTTGTTATCCACACCCGGAACGCATCATTGACTTGTGGTGTATCGGTTACTGTATCTAACAGTTCATTCATGTAATCCAGACCTAAATGACAGTTCTGTAATAATGCCCATCCACCCTGAAAAACATACATTAATGTTAAAAGTATGATCTTTTACTTGAAGGTCACATAAAAACAGGAAATGGTCTTATTTATTTCAGTATCCATCGCAGAGTACCGTAATTTTCGGATTATAGGTCGGTACTTTTTTTCTCAGAGCGCTGAGGTCGACCAATATACGATTTCGACCTTTCTAAGGCTCGAGTTTACGAAAAATGCCCCAAAATCAATAAAATTTACGTCAATTTCAAAGCAAATCTGTGCCACTTTCATAACTTTCTTCATTATTTTACGCAGAAAAATTAATGCCCAGGTAAACAATTAAAATATTTATTCTATAGCTTTCTTACAAAATAAATTCCATTACATATCCGTTGATGACAAAGGAAAAAAACTGCTTCATCAAAAAAAATAATTCCTCAACGTGTTATCCATTGCCATCATGCGGTAGCCATCTTGTGAAGTTAGGAAGTCGCTACCGTTTACTAAAAGTAAAACCCCAACCGTATCAAAATTTAAAATACGGAAAAAATTTCAAGGTTTTACCATTTATTAGTAGATAAATTGAAATAGTATTAATTTTATTTATTGTGACAGTCTTATATTTATTTAAGTGTAAAATGAGTGAAATAAATATTTGCCAGTCAATTCCTAAATTTAATTACCAAATAAACCGATAGTCATTACAATATATTTTTTTATTTTATTTAATTATAATACCGGTCAAACGAATTAGCGCTATACAAAGATTGGCTTCTAACAGAATTTTAATTGTCTCACAGATAAAAGGATTTACACTGTGTGTATACACAAAGGTTATAACGCCTGTGTTGGTTTAATACCCGCAGGGCATGATTAGCAAATCCACGTGCCGTTATAGGGTATTAGTGTTACACATCATTGAAGAAACAAAGCCATGAAATTCATAATGACGGTCAAATTGTGAATGTACCGGTACTCTCAATTAAATATATAATTAAACTTATAGCATGGTAATATTATTTCAATTCTTTACTGTTGTTTTATATATACATTCAATGGTCGTTTGCGGGTTTTAGCAAATCCCTGAAGAACAAAACTGAAAATGGCGGACATCGAAGCGATTGTCGTCCACCGGTAAATAATGTCTGAATAAAATATATTAGGAATGTGTCCAAGTTGTTCTGAAATCAGACTGATTATTCTTTGTTCTCGGGTATTTCCCGAATTATAGCTGTAAAATGAGAACGTATTTACGTGTTATTTATGCCTCTGGTTTAACAACAGTATGAAACTACGGAGGCATTGAACAGGCAAGTTGGAGAAAAATTAGTTAGAATAATCTAACTGTGTCTCGGTACAAGCCCTCACCACAGTTAGAATACGTCCCATATACTTGCAATGTAGCGAATCGGAGCGGATCCGCTCCGAAACGATTTTAAACAATATAAAATGATTTGCACCGGGAATAACTACCAAAATAATCAAAACAAACCTTTTTGAGATTGCTTATGCCTTTTATCCCAAGAAATAATCCATATATATATACGAAAATCAAATTAATTTTCTCAACGTTTTTCTCTCGATTCAAATTACCTCCATGTTTACATTCGGAACCCTCTAGATTGTTCCTAGTAAATGCACTATGCGAGTTATCGCCCGTGTTTCTTTTTGCTACATTACGAATACACGGAACGAATTCTATCGTTAAACCGGGTCCGTAGGACAATATCATTTTAACGATAGAACATTCTATCTAGAGAAAAATAAGTAGTAACACAATTCAACGAAGTTTTAACTACATTTTTAAAAAAACTTTATTTAAATGCTGTACTCATTAAAATACCTGTTTGTTTTCTTGATACGTTCATGTCACGGAATAACCCCGGTAATTCTAGAGGTTTACCTGTTCTGATACGTTGTATCTGTGTAAGAATCTTTAGAAAACGGGAAACAAAGCCTCGTCCTATATAGTAAGTTCGTCCTATCTTAGAATTTTTCAAAAGTTAAGGCTGAAAATGAGCCTTTCGACCTATATACCCCATCGACCTATGACCCGAAAATTACGGTAGTTTCTTTTAAAAATCAAAATTGTATCTACTGAATTATATAGCTTTGTTAAGTTATTTGATATACCAAGTTTTACTAAAAGCAGACAAAACTATGTAGAAGGGATAAATTCTAAAGGAATTTTACAAAATTTTCCTTTTTAGTTATCAATATGCAGTCTTAGAAATCATATTATATGTACAAATGTCTCCTAGATAAAATTTTAATTGAAATTATTTTACATACTTGTGAACCAGGTTCAGTTGAAATCAGACCATCTATAGGTAATTACAACATACTGTGAACTTATTACATTTGGCTGTGTATTCTTTTTAGCGCCTTTGGCGGAAAGAAACGTCCGCTAACTCAAGTACAGCACTAAATGTCTTGCACATATACTCATAAATAAGAACATGAAGAAATGCGCTAAATCAAATCTACGCTAACCTGTTCAAAAATCAATTTCCGCCAAATATCGTACACGCCAAATATGATACATTTACAGTATAAAAAAATCCCTTGCGTATCCAACAGGGCAAAAGGAAAATTAAACATAATAATTAAAAATAAAATGAACAAAAATGCAATTAACACAAAATTGTTAACAAGCTTACGGTATGCATGAACTGAGCAATTAATTTTCTAGCATGAACCTCCTGACCCTGACCCATAGAAATAGCCCTAAAATCTTTGTGAAAAAATAACATCTTATAAGAATACATACCTAATAATGTAAGAGTACGTAGTAAACAGAGCAATCTTAACATTTCTACCATTCAAATATTTGTGAAAAGGACATATAGAACACAAGTAATAGCTTAATGGTACATAAAAAGAGACCTACGTGTTGATAATAGCATTAACTCAAGTCACATTTCTTTTATGATTAAATTTTGGGCAAGATTCTAACTGCCCAAACCAAGATTCTAACTTCTAGCTGCAGCATGTGAGTTAGACTTTGGCAATACTTAGATTCACTACAGACCTCTTTTGTCGTCATGGCTATGCTTAGAATCACTACAGACCTCTTGGTCCTGACAAATCTTTGTGTTCATGGCTATGCTTAGAATCACTACAGATCTCTTGACCAATCTGTGTGTTCATGGCTATGCTTAGAATCACTACATACCTCTTAGCTAATCTTTGTGTTCATGGCTATGCTTAAAATCACTGGAGACCTCTTGGTCCTGACCAATCTTTGTGTTCATGGCTATGCTTAGAATCACTACAGACCTCTTGGCCAATCTTTGTGTTCATGGCTATGCTTAGAATCGCTACAGAACTCTTGGCCAATCTTCGTGTTCATGGCTATGCTTAGAATCACTACAGACCTCTTGGTCCTGACCAATCTTTGTGTTCATGGCTATGCTTAGAATCACTACAGACCTCTTGGCCAATCTTTGTGTTCATGGCTATGCTTAGAATCACTACAGAACTCTTGGCCAATCTTTGTGTTCATGGCAATGCTTATAATTGCTACAGACCTCTTAGCCAATCTTTGTGTTCATGGCTAATACTTAGATTCACTACAGACCTCTTAGCCAATCTTCGTGTTCATGGCAATGCTTAGAATCACTTCAGACCTCTTGGTCAATCTTATTGTTCATGGCTATGCTTAGAATCACTACAGACCTCTTGACCAATCTGTGTGTTCATGGCTGTGCTTAGAATCACTACATACCTCTTAGCCAATTTTTGTGTTCATGACTATTGCTTAGAATCACTTCAGACCTCTTGACCAATCTTATTGTTCATGGCTATGCTTAGAATCACTACAGACCTCTTGGTCCTGACAAATCTTTGTGGTCATGGCTATTCTTAGAATCACTGCAGACCTCTTAGCCAATCTTCATGTTCATGGCAATGCTTAGAATCGCTACAGACCTCTTGGCCAATCTTTGTGTTCATGGCTATTCTTAGAATCACTACAGACCTCTTGGTCCTGACCAATTTTTGTTTTCATGGCTATGCTTAGAATCACTGCAGACGTCTTGGTCTTCACCAATCTTTGTGTTCATGGCTATGCTTCGAATCACTATAGACTTCTTGGTCTTGACCAATCTCTGTGTTCAATAAGACCTCCTCATGGATAGACATGAACTTTTACAATCACTTGCCCTTTGGGCAAGTGTACTATAATTTTGACTTGCTTAAATGCAAAACTTGGTTTCCCAAAATTTTTTTAAAAAGAAAATCCATGCGGTTACTGTATCTTAATTTATTGTTTGTAAATATTAAAGTGTGACAAATTGATTTCTATTTTGAAGTTACCTGCCGGAAAAAATGTTGATGTGACGGTGATGCTGCATTTGTTAATTTCCTGTTATTTACTATTCTAAAAAACACACAGCTGTGCAACTTATTATTTCCTTACAATTTTTATCTCAATATTTTATTTTTTTCCTAAAAAATTGAGGTCATGCTAAAAGAAGACAGTTGCCATGTGTTGAATCAAGATACATCATGCACCAAGAATAAGTAGTGTTCTCTATATTCTGTGAATGAATAAAGAAACTATAATATCTATTTCATTATAATAATGTACTTAGTTGTCAGACGGAGATGATATTTTTGAAAACTACATAAGAAAACAGAATAACGAACCCAATTTCTTAATAAAGGTAGCTACTGAGGGATTCCGAATGCAAAAACAATGTCCCATTTTTTTTTAGCAGAAATCAAGTGTTTAATGTGATGTTTATGAACTAATGTAAGCTTAAACAAGAGGCCCAGGGGCCACAGCGCTCACCTGAGCACATCAGCTAGGAAAAAGCACAAATCAGATCAGAACTGAGTTTACTGAGAGGGGGGGGGGGGAGAGGAGGGCTTAAAATTATAACCCCCCAGGGGGTTATGATTTGAACAAACTAGAATCTACACTACCTAAGGATGATTCCATATAAATATCACTAATCATCGTTTTGAAGTACTTGAAAAAGAAGATTTTAAAAGGTTTCCCTATATATCCCTATGTAAAACTTTGGTCGGCCATTTTAGCCCCACCCTAGCCCTGGGGGGTCATGATTTGAACAAACTTGAATTTACACTACCTGAGGATGATTTCACATGAGTTTCATCTTTCCTGGCCCAGTGGTTCTTGAAAAGAAGATTTTTAAAGATTTTACCTATATATTCCTATGTTCAACTTTGGTCGGCCATTTTGGCCCAACCCTAGCCCCGGGGGTCATGATTTGAACAAACTTGAATCTACACTACCTGAGGATGATTCCACATGAGTTTCATCTTTCCTGGCCCAGTGGTTCTTGAGAAGAAGATTTTTAAAGATTTTTCCTATGTAAAACTTTGGTCGGCCATTTTGGCCCCACCCTAGCCCCGGGGGTCATGATTTGAACAAATTTGAATCTACACTACCTGAGAATGATTCCACATGAGTTTCATCTTTCCTGGCCCAGTGGTGCTTGAGAAGAAGATTTTTAAAGATTTTTCCTATATATTCCTATGTAAAACTTTGGTCGGCCATTTTGGCCCAACCCTAGCCCCGGGGGTCATGATTTGAACAAATTTGAATCTACACTACCTGAGGATGATTCCACATGAGTTTCATCTTTCCTGGCCCAGTGGTTCTTGAGAAGAAGATTTTTTAACAATGCCATTATTTTTTCTCTAATTCATAATTATCTCCCCTTGGAAAAGGGCGTGGCCCTTCATTTGAACAAACTTGAATTCCCTTTACCCAAGTATACTTTGTGGCAAGTTTGTTTTAAATTGGCCCTGTGGTTCTTGAGAAGAAGATGAAAATGTGAAAAGTTAACGACAACAACGACGACAGACAACGGACAAATTTTGATCAGAAAAGCTCACTTGAGCCTTTGGCTCAGGTGAGCTAAAAAGGTTTCTATCAGAAATATCCACTTGCCCGATCGGACAAGTACATCAATAGTTTAACTTGCCCGAATTGAGAATTTACTTGTCCTGGGCAATCATACAACCATTAATGTGGATCCCTACTCCTGGACTTCCAAAATAAGCTACTACTTATTGTGATTACAAGTGACCATTTTGCCATATGCTATCTTTCACAGTTTCAAATTTTTTTCAAAGTAATAGCACAAGCAAGAATTTTACTTTTCTGGACCCTTGATATGACCATAAGTCATAAACAAACAAAAGGCCTATGGACCATATCACCCCCACATTCCTATGCATAGTTTTGATTTCCGGTTATGGCCTTGCCCTTTCCCTGTTGGTCAGGATTTGACTTCTTAACTAGGTACCTAAGGCTATCTAAATTTAATTCCCTGGTTCTCAGGCCAATTTTCTCCAAAACAGATGCGGGAGGGCGGCATTTTATTTTTCATTTTATTGGCAATAAAGTAGATGAGGGAGTTTTTTTTTTTATTTTAATTTCCGAATTTTCTTTAACATAAAGATAATTTTTTAATCACAGATATACGTTCCATTTCTGATAAAAATTTCTGCTTTATCCATTGCTTAACAGCGTGTAAACATCGTAGGTAATGTCCTCGAATGTATTTTCAAACGAAGTAGCCAAAATCTCATTGTAAATGGCTACCGGAAGTGATATTTGAATACTAAACTACAAAACAAATGAGGTCGGAATTTTTTTTCCCGGATTGGTCTCCGCAATACCAACTTTTTATTTTATCAAAAATACAATAAAATCGGCAATGCGGCTACCTCAAAACGGATGTGCGCGGGCCTGAGAACCAAGATTTCAATTTTATATGGCCTAAGAGTGCTTTTTTGTTAATATGACTAAAATTGGCTTTGCTGTTCTTGAGGAGAAGATATTTTACAAAATATTCCTAAATAATTCTATGTAAAACTTTGATCACATGCTGTGGACCTGCCCAACCCATGGGGATTATAATTTGAATAAAACTGAATTTACAGTATACAGTATACTTTCTTTAAGTTTCAGTTTTTCTGGCCCATTGCGTCTGAAAAAGATTTTTTAAAAGTTTCCATCAAATTTTCACAAATGCTTTATTTTTTCCCCTTGAAAGAGAGCTTGGCACTCTATGTGAACAAATCTGAATCCCCTTTACCCAAGGATGCATTGTGGAATCTTTGAAATTGGCCAAAACCTTCTGGAGAAGAATATGATATTATTAAAAGCTTACAAATGTCAACAATGACAGACAACAGATAAATTTTGATCAGAAAAGCTAAAAACTCTCTGACAGATAAGTTCAAGTTTCAAATGCATTACCTAGATGAACTTTCTTTGACAGTGACTCGATTTGATTGGTGGGGTCAGATCCCATTGACAGAAGACATATAAGGGGTGTTCTGATGTCACTCTCCTCCCAGGTCTGTGTCAAGTTAAGGATGACTGATTCCGCATATCTTGGACCCATGGAGTCTGCTATGTACTTCCTGGCCTGTGGAATAGCTCGGTCTGGACACCAAGATCTTGAAAGAAGAAATCAAAATAGAAAGGATTTTTTTCTTTTAAAGCATTACAATTAGACTTGTATGTGCACTGGACAAATGCAGATGCAAAGTACGTCAAATAAAAACATCTTTCACATGATTAATATAAGCGATGAATTATCCAAAACTTCAGCTTACAGAAAATTTTGCTGTCTGAAACACAAATTTTATAAAAAGAATGGCAACATCTGATAACAAAAAAAAAAAAAAAAGACAAATAAGAAAAGAAAGAGATCATTTGAGCTATAGAAAAGCATAATTGAGCCCGCAGCTTATTATTAGAGATAAATAATACCTGATTAACAGAAGTCTCCTATATGCATCTAATGATGTATGATAACCATCAGGAATGTGCTCCTCCTCCGGGGCATCAGTATCAAACCAACTCTTCCAGGCCTTCTCATTTCTGGACACCTTTGAATGCAATTTTATGTAAAGGTTTACCATAGTACAAATTGAGTTTTTTTTTTTAAAGTGTATTATACTTGGAAATGAAGTTTATGAGGTCCAAAAAACAGAATACACCCAGATAAGCTTTGACAAAATTAATGCACATGCATGTGAAAAATTAAATCCTTATTTTTTTATTCAAAACTTATACCCATACTTTAATTATATGAAAAATAGATCAAATTTCAAGGTCTTGGACATGATGCATTTATCAATTTATATGAAAAAAGAAACTGCTTTTATAATAATAGATTTGGAAGAATGTAAAGATACCTGATTGAGAATTTCAGAAAACTGTGGTAGTCCACTAAGTTGCACCAAGTTTAACCAGGTCATATCAGAAATCCACTTTGAAGGTTTTGGCATAACAGCATTCAAGTCAAGTGCAGCACCACCTGTATAGGATATTACAAATGCTTTGCACTATTCTCTGTAGAGGAAAATACCTATAGACTACCAATGGCCATAGGCCACATTAATTACCTGAGCACTTTGGCTAGAGAAAAGCAGAAACCAATTCAATTCAGAAAAGTTTAAATTTTTAAATGCTATATATAATCCTAACCTTCCTCCACCACTAAACGACACTAATTAAGGATAATTCCATATCTCTTTGACTTACTGCAAAGTCATACATGCCAACTTTCCCGATTTAGGCGGGATTCTCCCGATTTTACCCTTTCATCCCGCCTTCCCAATCGGGAGAGAAAAATGGCCCCAATTTCCCGATTTGAAAAAATTCAGATTTTCAGTTTCCCTACCGCCGAATTTTGTCAATTGTGATAAGAAAACCAGAGTTGTTTATTCAATGCACACAAATAAGTCTCATTGTTTATTTAGCATGCAGAGTTAATTAGCCACGGGAAATCACTTCTCGCTTCAACGCACACGCTGCTGTCCAGGTACAGGTAGCTTATAGCCTGGAGCAGTTAGGGGATTAATCTTTTTAGTTTGAAGGGGTATGCGAAGTGAAACACATAGATTAAGGAGGCTCATTACACCACTTTTTGATGACGTACTACACAAAAACAAACCTCCATTGTGTCGGCCGGTTTGCTCAGGGAACGAGTAGTGTAGGAACCTCTATAATATGACCCTGACCTTTAAAACGCTTTAAAAATAGATGAAACATGCGGTGTTGTAAACAGTGAAAACAAAGTAACGGATTCATTATGCATAAACCAAGAAGAATTGCTTTTAGGCAGAAACAAAAGAAAGCAACAATCAAATCTTCGCCAAACAAGTAATGTCAATTTCATAGCCATGCATGCAGTGAACTCTATCAATCACTGACATTTATGTATGGAAGAAATTCGAGTTAAAATCTTCAACCTTGTTGAAATTAAAATTTTATTTAATTGCGCTATTTACTGTGTTGGTGTTAAATTTATATATCTGTTTTATTGATTTAAATGTATACTCTGGCAATTTAAAGCTTTAATATGAATTTCAGATGTAATGTCAAACGTTCCATAGTGTTTTGAGTCTTGGCTAATTAGGAAAGATAACTCTTGAAAGTGGACTTTTTATACCAAATATTTTTTAAATTGGATTTTTCATTTCGTTTAAACATTCTTCATTCAATTTGACACATGTAATTCATTGAAATACATTCCTTGTCTCTTAAGAACACACTTTTTAAACATTTTATGCATAGATTAAAAAGATAATGACATTAATTTTTTTTTAGGAGAAAATTATTTTTTCTAATAAAATTATTATCAGGTATTATGAGGTATTTTCACTTTGTGTACTTGTCTTAAAAAGATGCCCATCATTTGACACTGAAAGTTCTGAAATTCTGTGAATAATAAACCTAAAATAAAACATTTCACTAAAATAAAACAAAAACTAAAAAATTCTATAAAAAATATTCATGATATCAATCCCTCCATCTGGATATTTGACATCTACATTATAAACGGTGCTGTATTGAAATCTAAAATAAACTGTAGATGTAATGAGCCACCTTAAGGGCTTAATTATTAGTAATTGTATTAAAAAAAAAAATTAAAGTCAATAAACTGATCATCAAACAATAAAATTGGAATCCATGAAGATCGTTTTTTTGAAAACGAAAGTAGAAAATTTCAAAGCATATATAGCTGCTGATTTTGACTGCTAATAATAAAAACATTGTATAGTTCGTCAATTAAAAAAAATATTGAAAATAATTTAGATTAAATAATACTCTCATGTTAAGTACACTAAATTTCTCCCCTCCCCATTCTCCCATAGATCATACTCATATTGTACATTGTATAATCTTTGTTAAATTTATATATGTCAAGGAAATACCAGAGACCCATATGGCATTACCAAGACTGCAAAAGTTCATCATGTTCATGATGTAGTCTTTTACAATTTTAATTTTTCTTTGGGAGAAATTCATGATTTAATTAGGCCTATCTCTCCAAATTGTTTTGTGTGTGAGATAAAATAATCATGCACTGTCTATATACTTACTTATAGGAAATAAAGTGACACTTGATTTTAAGGGTACATACCAGAAACAAAATGTAAATTGATAGAACAGAGTGACAACCATTAAGCAAAGATATTTAAATTTGGAAAAATAAAACTTTAATTTGTATTGAATTATTTGTGCTGTATTAATAAGTGCTATCAATATTATAATTTTAAAAAAAAGTATTTCATAATCATTTATTTTCACGACAAAATGTCGCGAATTTAAAGCTTTGAAAATTGTCGTCACGCGCAAAATCCCCCATGGGAATTTTCAAAAGTTGGCATGTATGCAAAGTTTGCAAATAGATGGATGGACAAAAGATAGCAGAATAAACTTGGAATTAATTTTAAAATTTAACACAGGTGAACTACTGACTAGAATGCTTGTTAGATATTATATATTACCTTTGATAAATGTTTGGAATTCTTCTGGTTTCACCTTTCCAGTTTACATGTCGATCTTCAGAGTCATAAGCAAGGTGAACAAAAATTTGTGTGATTCATAAAGACCTCTACATGTGTATCTAAAAACCTCAAATGTTAGATACTCTATGATGTTTCCAATTCTTTTTGCTGTTACTGGACTCTTGTCTGATCTGTAAAATACATTGTAAGGTCAATCCAATTAAAATTAAATTTTAGATCTGCTCGCATACTCACTACACAACATCTAACAACATCTCATTGAGGGTCACGTCAGAGGCCAAATTCTATCAACCGATCAAATCGTCGCCTGCAAAATCATTGTATATTGTATACTGAACCGCAAAAGAAACGTCGCATTTTTAAAAGAAATATTTGATAATATGAAATATTGTTTGTAAATATTATAATCTGTGCTAAATATGCATGAACACGAAATGTGAACTCTACAATCAATTAAAGGTAAGTTACGCTTCACTGATTTTAGCAACACGTTCAATTGTCATTGAATCTCTCGTCTCCCGTGGTACACACTTTCCAGCATTAAATTGAAAAATGTTAATGCTCATGCTTTTCACGCTTCATTATGGGTATAAATACCGCGAACATTTAAATGATTATCAGTATAAGTTTTGAAAGCAGAGCTATGCCACGTTTGAATCGACAACAAAGGGACCAAGTCATAGGACGATTGCATGCTGGGCAAGCTGCCAGGGTGATAGCAAACGACTTCAACTGCAGTATACGCACAATTGAACGTTTACGCCAACGTTTCAATGCAACTAACAGCACAGACGATCGCCCACGTAGCGGTAGACCACAAGTTACAACGCAAAGACAGAACAGGTTCATAGTGCGCCAGCATTTGAATGACCGATTCACAAGGGCATCAGAAACAGCACGCAATACCATTGGAACACATCAGCCACCCATAAGTGACGACACAGTACGTCGTCGGTTAGCAGCAAATAACCTCAGATGTCGCCGTCCATACAGAGGTCCTGTCCTTACACAAAGACACCGTCGGGCACGTCTACAGTGGGCTTTACAGCGGCAAAACTGGCGTAATCGACAATACAGGAATGTCATCTTCTCCGATGAAAGCCGATATTGCATTTCCACACACGATGGTCGAGCAAGAGTTTGGCAAAGGAAGGGTGAGCGTTACAGAAACTGATCCATGGGGCGGGCCGAGCATCATGGTGTGGGGTGGTATTGGCCTATATTCGAAACTTGGCTCCGTTGTCTTCCAGAATCTTGGTCCAGGCAGAGGAAATGGTGTAACAGCTGCCCGCTACATTGATCAAGTCGTGAGGCCTTATGTTGTACAGCATTTCAACCAACATCCACACAAGACGTTCCAGCAAGATAACGCGCGTGCGCATACAGCCAGAATAACTAGGGACTACCTGCAGCAGAACAACATCGCAGTTATCGACTGGCCAGCTCTTAGTCCCGATCTAAACCCCATTGAACATTTATGGGATCACATCCAGTTAAAGCTAAACCAACAACAACCAAGACCGACAACTGCTGCTTAACTTTCTATGGCGTATGAGCGTGTGTGGGCGACTATTCCTATGGCCTTCATCAATCGACTCATCAACTCTATGTATCGAAGATGCATGGCTGTAATTAATGCCAATGGTGGCCATACACGTTTCTAATGGAAGTGCACTCAGGACAATAGGAATCTGTGATATTGACATTATTTGACATTAAATTGAATGTGTATAACTCTAAGACAAATGTTAGATAATTAAAAACACATTACATCAATTACATATTCGTTATTTTTTATTTCAAAATAAGTGCATTACTTTTTCAAAATCTAATGCGACGTTTCTTTTGCGGTTCAGTATTGTAATATTCATCACTAGACAAAGATCCAAAGCTGTTAGCGAGTGTTTTATGAAGAGTGCGAGGTTGTTCCGAGAACCCTCCTACATTTAAAGAAGTTAAATACCCAGGGAAACAGCTGTCAAAACATCTGGCAAGTACAATCGGATTGGAGGAGAGTGACATCATATCAGTAAAAAAGGGGGTTCAAGCGACATTTACTTATACCGCCAGCAGTCAAGATCCAGAAACAAATGATAAAGAGAGGAATGTAAGGAAAGAGGAAAAGAATAGTGGAATGGGAGAGAGCAAAAAGGACAAGAACAGCAAGGAAGACAATAGTAATGTAAAGAGCAGGACAGAGGAAAAGAGTAGAAAGAAGGAGAACAGCTATATAAAGAATAGTACAGGGGAGATGAATGGACAGAAAGATATTGGTGAAATACAGAACAGGACAGAGGAGAGGAGCAGAAAGGAGAAAGGAGACAGTTGTATAGTGAATATGCCAGGAGAGAAAGAGAGTGGTGAAATGCGGAATGGAACAGAGGAGAGGAACAGACAGAAAGATGGTGAAATACAGAGCAGGACAGAGGAGAGGAGCAGAAAGGAGAAGGTAGACAGTTATATAGTGAATAGGAACAGAGGAAAGGAACGGAGAGAAAGAGAGTAGTGAAATACAGAGCAGGACAGAGGAGATGAGCAGAAAGGAGAAAGGGGACAGTTATATGGTGAAGAGTACAGGGGAGAAGAATGGAGAGAAAGATGGTGAAATACAGAGCAGGACAGAGGAGAGGAATGGACAGAAAGAGAGTTGTGATGTAGAAATGAGGGAAGAGGAAAACAGTGAGGAGAAACTGGATTTAGATCTTTTTACATATAAGATGCATAGTCCTGCTATTGGAGACACGTTTCCAGATGAACAACAGCAAGGAATTCTATTGGCATTTCCAATTTCAACTCCTTCCCACCCTATTGTTGATGGAAGACAGAGAGCCATGAGGCTATTGTCGACAGGGGTTATGCCTCTCCTCCCACCAGGCAAGCGAGAGTGGAGTGGAGTTCCTCCAGTCTACATCACTGACACCCCAGTTCCCTTATCATGGCCACCATCTGAATGGGAAACATTCTCCCCAGAACAAAGACTACACGCCTGGGAGATGGCAGCAATTATCATTACTTCTAAAGATGTTTTAAACTTTGCCGTAGATAAAAATTACCTCCTTTCGTGTTTTAACTTCCTGTGTCTGCCAGGATCAGCAATGCCGATCCTAACCAAGAGTCAAGCCAATGAGATCAATATGAGACTGTATAATTATAAGGCCGTATGCGACATTGCCATTGGTGGTGTAAAGAACGAACAACAGGAAAAGTTATTGGAGATGTTAGAGCACTGTACTACTTGCTGTGATACATCTATGGACTGGATCATAGAAAGACTTGATGAATGTCATGTGAAACTTAGACTTCCAAAACTAGTAAATTAATTTGATTGCAAATTCAGGAGAATTGTGGATTTAAGGTGGGGGGAGTGTAATATTCATTACTTTATTAGATAAAGGGGGGTAGATCTTATTTGTAAAAGTTCTAGTCAAGTCATTGTATTTCTCGGAATATTCCGTGAATCATGCCATGTTTGTTTTGTTTATAGATTTACCATTGTGTTGGTCCCACATGTTTTTCTGTTATATGCTTATGTATTTTGATTATTATTTACCTGACAAGGCTATGTTCTTAAATTGTTTAAGATTTTATTGTCAATGAATACCGTAAATCTGGAAATTTTTACTGTAGATAAATTTTTAGCAAATTTGCGCGTACATTGCATTCGCAAAAATATTTTTCTTAAAAATAAATCAACATGTGAAGAATTTTTTTCTGAGAACTCGTGTCGTTTTTTAACTCAGTGAATAGGCGTCGGTAAGCACTGGAAACCTGTTTACACTAGTCTACTATATAACTACAAGTTAATTACCCGTGCGTGTAAATTGCCCTCATTATATGCACTATCGTCCTATGATTTGACAAGCACTGAGGCAGTATGCCCGTTTTAATTATTTTCATCAATTAATTTGCCAATAAAGAGAGAACTGTCATTTTATCTAACCGTGTATCAACACGGGCGATAACTTAAACTCAGTGCATTTACTAGAAAGTTCCAAATGTTAACGCAGCGTGTAAATAAACCAAACGTTGAGAAAATTAGTTATACCGGTATTTTTTCTTCATTTGGATTATACTTCAGGTTAAAAGGCATACACAACCTCTAAAATGTTTGTTATAATTGATTAAGAAGTTATTTTCAGTGCAGATCCTTTTGTATTTTTATCAAATTGTTTCGGAGCGATTTTGCAATATCTTGCCACGTTGCGAGTATATTGGTGGTATTCTAACTAGGCATATTATTTGAAACATAACCTGATATGAAAATCGTCAGTGATTTTTATTTTTAGCACCAGTGACAATTCGCAAAAATTTGAAGCGTAAAAATTAATCAACAGCTTTTTGACCCAAATTCGCAAAAATAAATCGACGTAAAAATTTCCAGATTTACGGTATAAGAATCTACTTACAGGAGTTTCAGTGATGTTATTAAGTAATCCACACTGTATTTGTTATGACATGACATCTACTGTCAGTGCATGTAGGCCGCCATTGTATGACATCATCAAATAGTTCACTTGGCGCAATAATTTGGATTTGTTATAATGTAAAGCTAGTACAAGTAGATTCCTATTAAATTACAGTTAAATTATAGTTTTTATAACTTGAACTATTTAAAAGATACCTGAAGATTTGATCTCTCTATTTATGATTGTTGTCATTTAGCACTATTTATTTTGCTCAAGAATATTACCTAATTACTGATGTCTACTATAGTTACACCACAAGAGATAGTTCTTTGTTAAGAATTGTTTAATTCTTGATTTATTAAGTAAGTAATGCATTCATTTTATTGTGTATAGAGAATATATAGCTAATAGGATAATTTAGTAATATATGATTGTTTTTAATTGTTAGAATTATAATAATTTATGCCTGTCAGGATTGTCAGGAAAATGAAGCATTTTGATTGGTTAGTTTCTAGATGCAAAAGCTATATAAGTGAGCCAACTTCTCAGTTTTGTCAGATAGCTCCACTGAGCACTTGACTAATTGTTATCTTATTAGGTATGATGAATTCTGAAAACCAAGATCATAATTTTTATAAAGACAAGTTCTAATTATTATTCAGCATAAAGATTGTTTTCATAACTTGGCAACCCAGAATCCTGACATTTTATAAATTCCTGACACCCAGATTCCTGACAACATATTTCCTGACACCCAGAATTCC